AGTAGCAACCTCATAGGGTAACCAGAATGCGGAGTCATTTCTGGCATACGTTGAGGAGGCGATGATACGGGATCAGGGTGCAGTTTTGAGCGAGACCGGAGTCGTCTCAGAGTATCAGGATGTCGTTCAGGACATATCTACATTTTCTCTAGTGAGAGAGGTTATTTCCCTGCATCGAGTTGTAGCAGGCACTATACCGATATTCCAAACACCCTATCATATCATATGGCACCCGTTGAGATGAGGGAGCTATAGACTCAGTTAGATGAGTTGTTATATCAGAGTTTTATTATCTGGAGTCATTTTTCATGGGAGCACCGGTCCTCTTCGTGGAGAAGAAGGACAGTAACATGTAATTATGTATAGATTATCATGAGTTGAACAAGGTTACTTCTCGGATTACGGATCCACTATCGAGGATTTATGACTTGTTTGACCAGTTGCAGGGAGCGCAGCATTTCTCGAAGATTAATCTTTGTTCTAGTTAGTTCCAGTTGCGAGTGTGGTAAATATATATTTCCAAAACCGTATTTTCTGACTCGATATGGGTCTTTTGAGTTCTTGTCATGCTATTTGGACTGACCAATGCACCGGTGGTATTCATGGATTTGATGAACCAGGTTTTTCATCCATGTTAGGACCAGTTCGTAGTCGTTTTATTGACGACATCCTTATCTTTTTGAGATCGGAGGCAGAACACGAGCATCATCCTCTTTTGGCATTACGGGCATAGCGGACAGTCGAGATTAGAGGCATCAATGATACACTGAGTTCAGCAGATACGAGTTTTGGCTATAAGAATTAGATTTTTAGGCCACGTCATCAGCATGGAGGGCATAACAGTGGATCCAGCTATTGTTGAGGCTGTACTTGATTGGGAGCCACTAAGAATTATTACGGAGATTTGTAGTTTTGGTAGGGTATGAGAGAAAGTTTATTCAGGACTTTTCGAAGATTGTGATATAACTTACACACCTTACGAAGAAGGGTGTATAGTTTGCTTTGGGCACGGGGTGCCAGGAAGCCTTTGAGACTATTAAGGCTAGATAGACTATAATAACAATTTTGACTTTTCTGAGTAGTGATACAATATTTATCATTTATGTGGACACGCCATTAGTAGGACTAGGAGGTGTTTTGATGTAGACCCGGAGGGTATGACTTATTTCACGACAGTTGAGGTGCATCATACCAGATATACAGTGTATCCAGGTATAATGAAAATGTACAAAGATGTGAAGAGGCACTTCTAGAGGAGTTTCCAGGATTTATTCAGTAGCCGGTTGTGATATTCTAGTGTTGTCTACCCACAGGCGGATGGACAAACAGAGAGAGTAAACCAAGTATCGGAAAACATGTAACAAACATGTATTATAGATTTAGAGGATAGCTGGGAGGATCATATCCCATTGATTGAGTGTGATTATAATATCATTTATCATAGACTATTGGCATGACACCGTATGAGGCATGGTACGGGAGGCATTATAGATTGTTTATTCATTGGGCAGAATTACAAGAAAGTTTATTGCTTAGACAGGAGCTTGTGTGGTGGACTACAAGGAAGGTAACAGAGGTTTGTGAGTGTATTCTTGTAGCGCATAGTTGTCGAAAGAGTTACGCAGACAAGAGACGACGACCGTTAGAGTTCGAGATTGGGGACTATATCTTATTGAAAATATCACCGACAAGCTCAGCGACTCGGTAGACGGGGAAGGTTTATCCTGAGATATATTGGTCCGTTCATGAGAGTTGAATATTTTTGGAGCTGTTTTGTATGGGCAAGATCTTCTAGCATCAATGTCGAGTATACACGATGTTTTTTATGTTTTGATAATTTAGAAGTAATTGCGCGATGAGGAGTAGCAGAGAGTGATTGATGCACCAGAATTTGAGTTTCAGATAGATTTAACTTCTGTGGAGATCACGGGTTGTATTCTTACTAGAGAGGACAAGAGCTTAGAAAGGAAGTAATACATTAAGTTAAAGTTCAATAGAGATAGAAAAGAGCTGAGGAGGCTTCTTGGGAGCACGAGGAGGATATGCGTCGTGACTACCCGCACCTATTCGAATGCGTAAAATGATTTGGTTATAGCTTATTGATGATTATGATTTTTGATTTTCTATATGGTCATATTTATATTTAACGCTAGAATGGGGGTATTAACACTTAGCTCCTAATCATTCGGAACACATGGTATATATATAAGGGGTTCCTTGTTTGGATTTTTCGCCCGACGTACTAGTTTTGTTTTGTTAGGGGTTAAGTGAGAGTATTCGTATTTTAGATTGTTAAGCATAAATATTGCTAGTGATTCATATCTAGGGATTAATGGTATGAGATGTATACGGGAGGGTTTCCTTGTCTAGATTATCGCCTCTTAATGCTTTTCTCATATTATTAATTCCTAAGATATGATTATGGAATTTCGGGGTCGAAATTCTTTTAAGGGGGAAAGAATGTAAAACCCCGTAAATTTGAATATTTTATGATAAATAATGATAAATATGTTATATTGTAAAAAATAATATATTTTGATGTTTGAGTATGATAAAAATTGATTTGAGATCAATTAAATGTATATTTGTAAAAATATGAGTGCAAATGCACACAACATGCACAAAAGGCCAAAAGAGTAAAAATCCGGGAATAATAACTAGTTATGAGTTTCTAGGTTTTACACACCTATGTAGTTAGAATCTAAAAAAGTGTAAAAGACTAAAATTGTAGATCTCTTCAACAGCTTTCTAACAAATCTTAGATCACCTCATTCCAAGATCAGATGAGAAAGTTACAGCCATAATACCGAAGGTTGTTTTCCTAGTCAGACTAGGTTTCCTTGTTCGGGTCAAACATGTTTGTTTCGGGTTTGCCTCTATAACTACCTGTGTTTTTCACGAAAATTCTTTTGTTTTATCATATCTATGAACCCTAGCATCCACCCTCTCCCCTAAAAAACCCTATATCTTTTTCTTATGAGTTTGGAGAGCTTTGTGAAGTAAAACACCAACACGAGGGCGAGATCATCGACGTGTGGCGAGGGAGAATAGGTTGTTTATGCTCGGGGATAGCTTGCTGCTTATTTTAGAGGCTTGCACATGATATTAAGGCAAGATCACTTATATCCAAACCCATCCCTATATTTAAATAACTAGCTTAGGACTTTAATTTGTGTTTACATGCTTAGATCTTAATCTAATATGAAAAAGATTAGATTTTTGTTGTTAGATCTGAAACAAATGTTAGATCTACATATTTTTCTTACTGTTTATAATAGAAACATGATCATGATTATTAGGGTTCTTAACAATTTTATTTTTATCTTGTTAATCATGTTCTAATCATGTTTAAACCCTAATTTGACATTTTAATTAAGTTTACATGTGGATTAAAGATGAGAAAATCCTAGGTTTGTAATACCTAATTAAGTGTTAAAAATATGATTATATAAATGTTTATCTTTTCTAAGTTGTTTGGAAATCATACTTATGTTTAATATGTTAAATGTTCATGCTTTAGATTGAAGAATTTGGTTAATTAGGTTGAAAAGCCCCTTTTTTTAGATTAACACAAGAGTTTGTTTTATGTTTCATTCAAGTATAAGGGTTTAAGCATGTTTCTTGTTACAAATAATCATGTTAGATATGTGATATAATTCCTAGAGATGATGATTTGATGTATACAATGTTCCACATATGTTTCAGTAAGATTTTAAACAAGTTTGAATAACGAAATCAATATGAACACAACACAGTGCAGAAACCTACACAATCTGGAAATTTAACCCATGGTCGACCGCACCTTAGTGGCGGTCGACCGCGTGAAAGACAGAGGCCTGGGTAGCCCTTGGAATCCGTCGCGGTCGATCGACGTGTATGTGCGGTCGACCGCCACTCAGTCTTTGACCTGTGCATGTTTGTTTGGCTTTATTTTGATTTTCGAGAGAGTTTCTCGATCTTGTACTGATATATTATGATACTTAAGTGTTGTTTAACACCTGAGATAATGGTGAACACCAGTTATGGACACGCACACCGAGATTTGTGTACGTACACTTAGTTTATGTTCTGTTAACATGCACTATTGAGATTTCTGATACACGTTGAGTTGATAAAAGTGTAATAACATATAATAAAGTATTGTTCATCAGTTATGGATACTCGGTGTGGATGTTTTCCTGTAATGAGACTGCGGCTGTACTACACTAGGAGTATTGGATGTTTCCCGCAATAAGACCGTGGCTGTACTAATACTCGAAGATGATCGAGGTTTTTTCTAAATTTGGCTGATATGTCTATACTCCACTGTACGATCATCTGGATACATCCTCTGAAAATAGGGAGATAAAACCTATTTCTGTAGGATGATTGAGTAAGTGTATTATAAAAGTATTATCATTTCATGTATCCGGAATAGGGAGACAAAACCTATTGCCGCAGAGCAATTGAGTAAGAATATTACAAGAGTATCGCTATTGCACAAGGAGATGTACACATATATGTATTATCAGTTGTAGTTACTCCTATGTTAGATTACCCATGAGTAGGGTACATTCTTTGATTTGTGTCATACAGGATATGACCTTTGGTAATTTTTGAGTTGGATGATATTCTCTTATTAATACGCCAACTACTTGAGAAGTAGTTTGAGATTTTTACATTGGTTCTATATGGTTGAGGGTTGGAGTATTTCTTTTGAATATTGTTTTTATTCATAGAGTTGGAATTGGTATTTAGGGATCTACAATTTGAGACATATGGTATATATATGAGGGTTTTCTTGTTTGGATTATTTCGTTCGACATACTACGTCTTGTCTTGTAGATGTCTAAATATTAACTCCATTAGATACAGGAAAAATAATATAGGTAGACTATACTTAATAGATAGAGCATCCACTCCATCTAGTAGCTCTTCTTCTGGGGACGGATGGAGGTGATCTTGCTGTAGCGCTCTGACGCTCTTGTTGTTGTTCTTTTTGTTTAAATTATCTCTTTCAGGTTGATCAGAGATTCGGAGAGCCGCGGGATGACGGAGTTCTAGCATAGTTACCGTCGCACAGTCTTAGTAGCTGAAGCTCCACTGTATAGTTATGTTCATTGTTCAGACTTTAGAGTTGTATTTATTTTGTAGAGGCTGAGTACCTTAGTAAGATTTCATTTGACTCATTGTGGTTAGATGTATTTCAGACTCAGAGATATTTTCATTTTATTTCAGTTGGGCTCATTTGTTGATATACTTCTTCTGTGCATATCTAATTTTGTACTACTTCTATTATTTGCCTGTTTTGTACCTTTACCTATTTGTTATTTCCATTAGAGAGATAGTGATTGTGTTGGTTAAACATGTACGCTAAATGCCCCTGTAGACTACAAAGTTCCTTAGGGTTTTTTGGAGGCAGAAGCTCTTGAATAGTTTTGACTTTTCTGGGTCAAGATGAATTCCATTAGCTGTGACTACGAACCCAAAGAATTTACCGCTGGCCATTCCTAGGAATGACTTGGTTGGGTTCATCTTTAATTGGTGCGTCTGCATGAGATCGAACATTGTTTTCAAGTCATATAAATGATCTCCCTTATCATGACTTTTGACAACTAGGTCATCAATATAAAATTCCACAATCTTCCTTAAATGTTCTCAGAAAATAGTTACCAAGACACGTTGATATGTAGCGCCAGCATTCTTCAACCCTAAGGGCATTACTATGTAACCGTATATTCCTGAAGGTGTTCGAAAAGAAGTATGCTTCTCATCATTAGAATACATCTTAATTTGGTTGTACCCTGAGAATCCATCCATAAAGGACATCCTTTTAAACCCGCACGTATTGTCAATAATGACATCCATGATAGGTAAATGAAAATAGTCCTTTGGACAAGCCGAATTTAAATCTCAGACGTTAATGCATACTTGAATCTTCCCGTTCTTTTTTAGAACAGGAACAATATTGGCCACCTAATCAGGATGTTGTTCCTCATGGATAAATCCCAATTCAATGAACTTTTTGACTTTAATTTTAATTGCTTCCATGATCTGGGGCCTAAATCGCCGTTGTTGTTGCTTAACAGGCTTAGCGTCTAGTTTGATTTTAAGGTGATGCATGGTCACCTGAGGATAAAGACCCGGCATGTCCTCATAATTCCAAGAGAATCCATTGATATATTCACGAATGAGAGTGACATGGTCCTCCTTTTCTTCAAGTGATAGGCTATCACTTATGAATATAGGTTTCGGGTTAGACTCGTCGAATCATTTTATCATCAGTAGGAGGTTCATGTTGTTCAAATTGATTTTCCCACTGTATGCCGAGTTGCCTACTCAATGGATCTTCACACAAGAGCAAATTATCATCCTCTTAAGTCTTTATTGGCTGAGCCGAAGTCATGTTGACCATGAGTACCTTAAATACAGTGTCAGTGCTGACATCTGAATCTCAGCAGGTCGACTGAGATGAAGAATTGATGATGTTACCTTCTGACTCCTCAGTTGCCTCGAAGCATAATGTTAACATTGGGGATTCATATCCTAACCCCCTATGAGTTTTGTGATAGTCATCAGGTTTCCCTTCCGGAACATAGGCAAGTTTAAGAGGTGTCTTCCACCCTTTACCAAAATTTAAACCTTCTTTACGGGTGAAAACGTATCCCATTTTCCTTATAAGAATTGAGGGGCTCTTACTTCTTTTTCAGATTCTTCCCAAAGGGTTTGTATTGGACCTTCAGTTTGCCCAAAGATGATGTCTTTTTTACCATTATTCTTGGCTGGTACTATGAAGACTGCTTGTGAAGATTCGACCTGCCATCGACTTGTCAAGAAAGATGATTGGATCGGCATGTGCAAAGCAGGTTTAGCATACAGTCGTGGAAGGAGATCTGATATTGCATTATTATTACTATCTGGCATATTAGAGTTATATTCAACACATGATAAGTAAGCTAAATCATCATTGTTATTAAAGATAATTCCACTATCATCATCCGTAATGTTATTTACATCCAGACTCTCAAGACCAATTACGACGGGTTCAATGTCAATGAAAACAAGACCCTGTTCGCACTCAAACTCAGTATCAGCCTCATTGCCACTATCAAGGTCCTTAACTAGTGGTACCTTAATTGGCTCATCATCAAGGCAGTGGATGAAATCTGTAAAATAATTCTCAACTCTCTTAAATGGTTGCTTTTCTGCGACCACTATTCTAACTTCGCCGCTCTCATCCACGTATTTCATGCTTTGATGTAGAGTTGATGGAACGATCAAATTGTTATGGATCCAAGGCTAATCCAATAACAAATTATAAGACATTTCTGCATCAATGACGTAGCAGGTGACATCTGTCCTCAAGTCACCCATTTGGCATTTGAGCTTCATTTTTCCTAGGGGACGAGTTTTGGAAGCATTGAAGCCATAAATGATGGTTCCTGTTGTTGACAATCGATAAAGTGGGACCCCAAGATGGTAAATGAGTCTTAAAGGTATGATGTTCAAAGCAGAACTAGGATCAATTTGAATTTGATCTACCAGAATAGAACCTATATACCCTGTGAAGTATATGGGTCTATCATGCTTCGGGTTTCTCACATGCATATCCTCCAGAGAAAAAGTAATGCATGACATCCATCCTTGAAAGACTTGATGACATTGAGGGTAGGCCTCTAATGTTTCCTCTATCGGACTTGGTGGAAAGTGAGCAAGGAAGGTCTCATTATCCACCAATGCTTCGCGGAGGGCTACTCTTGTCGATTGCGATAAGCGTAAAAGCTCAAACAAGGTAATCCTTGTTGGGATGTTGGCTAATTGAGCTAATACATCAAACTGAAAAGGACCCTTCGAGCTCTCTGGAACATCCTTCCTGAGTGCCTTGTTGTAACAAAATTCCTTCACCTTGGGAACATTGGGAGATGCTTGTATTTTATCCGCCACCTCCTTCTCCGGTCTTGACGGTGCAACTACTGCTTTAGGATACTTCTTTAAATACTCCTTTTCTCCATGGGTTCTTGATATCTGCATAGGTTGTATGGTGAACGTTGGCTGCTCGTCTTCAGAACTGTTGAGGGACGTAGTTTTAACTTCCTCATCAGGAATGACGGACACAACATTGCAGGATTTTTGCTAGGATTTGGATTTCTTTGAGCCTGCCTATGTCCATTGTCCATCCATTAGTAGGTCAGGATGAACCCACATGATTTCACCTTTGGGAGTAGTATAAGGAACCATATCCTTCTCCTTTTGTCGATGAGGATCGAGGTTCATGACCCTGGTCTCTGTTTGAGAAATTGGTTTCACACCGTCCTGAACTTGAACTTTCGTAAAGTCTCTAAACTACAACGAGACCATGTTTGCTGACACCTTCTTTTGATCTGCCTGAAGGGTCATAACACCTGCATCCAGCAAGGCCTAGATCTTATCCTTTAGGATATAGCATGCCTTGGTTGGGTGATGCACCATCCTGAGTTAGGATCATCTGTCCTTGACACTTCTTCAGGATGCCTCAAATCGGGAAGTTTGATCTTGTTTGTCTTTATCAAAGACTTAAGGTTCGGGATGATGTTGTCATCTTTAAAATCATATTTCTTCTGAAAGCGATTATTAGAAGAACTTCCCTTTTGCTTTGTAGAAGATTTAGGAGAAGGGTTGGTATCCACAGCCAAAGTGTCTTTCCCCTTTGATTGCTTTTGAGGGTTGAAGATGCCTTTATTCCCTCCCTTTTTAGAATGAGACTCCTGAGGTTCTTCAGCATCTATCCTCTTGAGCATGTTCTCGACCTACTCTCCCTACCAAGCTAAATCCTTCCAAGAACGAGTTTTAACTACGCCCATCTTTGACAATATATTGGTAGAAAGATTGTTTCGGCACATCTCCACAAGAGTTGCTTCTGATACTTGATCACGTGAATGAAACGATCGATTTCTAAATCTTTTAACAAAGTTACTGACAGACTCTGTCTTTTTCTGCTTCTTCGCTAATAGTGCGGCCATAGACACCTCAGTGTCATCATCAAAGAACCTGGCTAGGAAAAGCTTTTTTAGATCCCTCCAACATTTAATAGACCCAGGTTCTAGTCTGCGAAGCCATTTAAAAGCAACCCCTTTAGGGTACTAATGAATAATCGAGTCATGATAGGGTCATTCCCCACTATTCGTCCAGTCTGCGCCTGAAAATAGTAAATGTGTTGGGTAGGAGAACGCTTGCCATCGAATTACATTAGATTGAGCAGCTAGAATTTCTGGGGATATGGGACAGTATCCCATTCAACTGATAGGGTCTAGCTACCCCATGTTTTTGAAGTTTCCTTGGAGCTTCAATGCGTCAAGTTGCTTCTGGAAATCATCCAATTTTTGGTCCCGTACTTTCGTATGAGGATTGGATTCAGCTTTAGATGATTCAGAATGAATCTTCACAACATTTTCCTCTTCATCGTCTTCATCATTACCATCTTGATTTCTACGGCTATTTTCTTCATCAGCAGGTGATGGTCGCCTATGCCTCAATCCAGAGGTTTGGGAATGAACTTTCTTCTTTTTCTGTTTCTACCCGAGGAGTCTTTCTACCATTGCTTCCAAGCGTCTGATAGATTCCTATTACCGGAGGATGGTTGATTGTTGCTCTTCCACTTTCCTTACCATGTCTTCCTCACTTCCAACCATGTAAGCACTTGCCTATTCACTTTGATTGGTATTAGAAGGCTAAGAGGTTACGGTGGTTGAGTTTTCAGGTTCTTTGTCAGCCTCGACTGTAATGCCTACTAATCTTTGGTAGTCTAGTGGGATCACCACATCAGTATGAGTACGAGTGTGCCGATACACTCCTTGTCCATCAATAAGTATTTTACCTAATCTTGGAGAGTACTCAGGATCAGAAGATTCAGAAGAATTAGCCGAGACTTTGCTCATGCCCTTGCTAACCATATTAATCGTTACTTCAATGTGGCGATTCTTGGGTACTTGTTTTTTGGGATGAAAGTGCCATCTTTTGGATGACGAGATCATCAATAGCTCAGTCAATTGTTCAAAAACTAAAGACTTGTATGTGTTGGATATCACGTCCT